TAAATAGTAAGAAAGTAAGAAAAATACACTTCATACAGCAGCTTTCTGCTCAAATATTCATCTCACAGAAGACATGCCCAGCAGAGACAAGTCACTTGGCCAAGAAGCTAAGTACAAGAAGAAGTGGGATCAGAGATCACCTGCCAAATCGTCATTTTTGCCTCCACAAATACAACAAAATACCTTTTGCCCGAAGCAAAGGAGAATCGGAGAAACACATGGATGCCCTGGCAAAACAGAAAGGCACACGCATATTCTCCTTCCATCGTGGCAGACCCCCGCCCCCAAACAGACAAGGCGAAACCCTTCCTGCCTTCCCAGAAGCAAAGCGGTCTTCCATCCCAGCTGGCGCAGTCTGGGCACGAAGCGTCCACAGGGCTGCTGACGGGGACGGCCGCAGGCCCTCCCCAGCCGAGCCAGAAGCCCACCTGCTGCATGGCCGGGGTGCTGATGGTGGATCCAACCTCTAGCTCAGGCTTTCTCAGGCCTCCCCCAGCCAGGGAGACGGCTGGGTGGCGGGTGGGCAGCACCTGAGCCTGCGCAATATCCCCTGTTGCCCGAGGCAACCGAATGCCCCCCCCCCCCCGGAAGGTCTCCAAGGGAGACTAAGCACATCCCAACTTCTGCTGGGAACGCTTGAGGTTGCCTTCGTGGCCCTCGAGGCCACCCTCCGATCTAGCAAGGAAACGGAGCAGCGAGCGCGGAACATGGGCCTTGGAGCAGCTGCTTCTCTCTGGCCTGGGGCTGGCGGGTTTTCCCCCGACACGCCATCCTTTCTGGAAGGCGGCAGAAGCAGCCTGGCCTGTGGTGGGGGCCAGAACGTGCATCGTCCCACCAGGGAAATGGGGCCGGAGCAGTGCATTCTTCCCGGCATGGGGCAGGAAGGGGAAGAGGCGAGCCGGTGCAGGGACTCTTCCACTGGTGGAGGGACAAGGGTCCACGCAGGTTGCCCTTCCTTGGCCAAACAAACCAGTCGAGATCGATCACTTGGATGTCTATCCCGTCTTTCCACCGAGAAAACGCCGCTCAGGGCAGCGAATGACGACAAGGGCTTCTTTTAAAAACGGTGATGAGACCAATGCATTCGAAGTGCCCGTCCACACTGCAGCAGTGATGGGAAGAAAAGCACCACCCCACACGCGTGGAAGCTCTGCTGGAGCGGCCGTGGAAGGGGGTCAGCCGGTGGGGGAGCCATCCGGGCAATTCGCCCCCTCTCAGGTCACCATCAAAGGCACCTCGGAGGGTGGCCGGGCGGTGAGAAGGCCCCCAAAGGGTTTCAGTCTTTGCAGTGGCAGCCCTGCATCATCCGTAAACACCATTCGCATGTACCTGGTTTGGGCGCACCTGGAATGGTGCACCTGGAGAAAAGTGGCCCGGAGGGCGTGTGGAGAGCCATGCGCACCTCCCCAGACGAGTGCTTGTGCCCGTGTCCACCCGGTGCATGGGATGGCTGTGCTGGCCGGGTTGGGAGCCACTGCTTCTGGCCAGCTGGACATGGGAGGTGAGTGCCGTGTCGCCACCGTAAGAAAATGGCAGTGTGGGAAGCGGCCTTGACCTCAGCCCTGAAGCTCTACCTGCAGGTGTCCTCGCTGTGCTGTACACCCCTGGCTGCAAGGGGCCCCCTGGGGCGGGGGCACCATTCTGCGTGGCAAGCGCGACTGGCTAATGGGCTCCTACACGGGGCCCGGGAAATTAGGCTCCTCTGCCATCCATCCTCCCCTTCCCAGGTGCAAGCCCTGGTGGTTCTGGTCTGAGGCTCGCTGGAGCCTCTGTTCGAGGAAAAGTGGGTGGCACTGGGGCTGGATGGACCAATGGTTAGAGCCAGGGAAAGGCAGCTCCTGAAATCCGGGTCCACCCAGGGGTCCCGGGAAGCCCCGTCCTTTCAGGCAGACTTTGGAGGCATCTCACAATGGCATGATGGATTCCCTCCATGCCTTCCCTGCGACTGCGTTTCCTCCTTCGCCGAGGCTGCTGCTTCACGGGCAATCGCGAGCAAGCCCTGGAAAAATCGTCGCGACTTGCTTCTCCGAAAGCACGCGGAGGATCGGGCTGCATCCGTGTCGAGGAGACGTTAAAATGCCACTCCAGCAAAGCTGATCGTGCCTGCCCCGGCTCGCAGCCACTGAACGTGTGGACCACCGAACCCAGCTGGTGGGCTCGTCAGAAGCGGCCCCCTCGCCATCCCCCCTTTTTCTAAGAAGCTCAATTTCCCACTTGCCAGTAGCAGATTAAAAAAAAATCAGAAACGGGGAGGGACCTCCTTCTGTCAGAGCCTATGTAGATTAACCTTTCAATTAGCTGTTATCAAGTCCTGTGTTTTAGTGCCCGTTCTTGCGATCTGCGGCCATTTAGCATCAAGAAAGGTTTGAGGATTGTAATTTTTTTATTGCATTTTGGGGGAGGCAGGCTGGCGGGGAGGAGAAGAGGAGGAAATGAATGCCAGTCCGGCGCTCTGGTGCGGGTGCGTGCGCGTCCCTCTTCTGCTTTCTTCTCCCGCGATCGGAATGTTTTGCGACCTTTTTGTGTGTTTCTAGACGTTTGTGATTTCCCCTCGTATTTTTTAGTGGGGGGAGGGGGGAACATGAACAGAAGCCTCGGAAAGGACAAAAAGGTATTCCTGCTTTTCTAATATCGTTGCCTTTTGATTTCGCAAAAGGAAAAAAGCGCCGATGCAAACCCCCAAATCCTCTCTTTCGGGATTCTTCCCCGCCTTCCCCCTCCCCCAAATTTCCTTGTATGCCTCTCCTGGCTGGGTTTCCTTCTCCGTGCAATTGGGCAAGGGGGGCGGCGGAGGGGAAAGGGGTTGCGAGTGTTGTTGTGTGCCTGGCTCGGGTTGCTGCGGCCAGGAGGGAGAAGCCAGAGACGAGCCGGAGCCGGAGCCGGAGCGCGGCTGCTGCTGCTGCTGCCGCGCGATCGCCTTTCCTTCCCCGGGGCGGCGGCGGCGGCGGCAACATTCCGCAGGAACCGCTTTGCAGGAACATCCCCGAGCAGGGACACGGAGAGAGGTCAATCGGCAGGCGCCAGGGGGGACGAGCCCGCAGCGACGAGGTTAGAGCTGCGGGCGGGCGGGCGCGCGCGCGAGGCGAGGCGAGGGGAGCGGAGCATGCGAGGGGCTCTGCCCGGCGCGGCGCGACCAGCCGCCGCCGAGGTCCTGCGAGAGCGGCGCGGCTGCTCCCCGGCCTCCCTCCGAGGGGCTCGCGATTAGCCGTTGGGCGACTTTTTATTTTCTGCAGCCAGAGGCCCGTGCACGTGTTTACAGGCGCTTCTGCCGGATCCGTGCGTTGCATCGCGTTGCGGTGCGTTGCATTGCATTGCAGTGGTCCGATGCATTTGGAGGGCGGGGGGAGCGGGAAGTGCTAGCAGAGGAGCGGCAGGCTTGGCTGGGAGAGCGGCGGGGAGGCTGCTCGTCGCTTCTTCGGGGGCGCCGCCTGCCCCCGCCCCGCAGGCTTCGCTCGTAATTGTTTTCTGCAGAAAAGGGGCGGGCTGGCGGAGCCCCATGTGCATTGCCTGGAGCCGGGGACCTGCAGGAGCGTGCGCACACCGCTCGGCTTGCGCGCCTCTGCATATGGGGATCATTGTCTTCCGCTGGCGCGCAGCTGCCGGGGCCCGGCACCGGAGGGAGGGGGGCTGGGGCATCGGGGGGGAGCGTGCTCGTTTCGGACCTCGCCCGACCGAGCGACAGCACGTGGCGTGAAACGCAAATGCTCGGGGGCCGCTTATTCATGTGTGTCGCGCGCCCTCCCGCGCGAGGCGCGCCGAAGCCGCTCCCGCCCCCGCCCGCTCCCCTTGGCCGATGGGCCGCCGCGCCGGCCCCGCCAGCGAGCAAACTTCCGCGGCAGGAGGGAGGTTAAAGGGAAAAAGAACGGGGCGGGCAACCAGCTTTGATCGGCAGCTCCGTGCTGCCTATCGGAAGCCCCTCTCGTGCTCCCCCTTTCCATGTGTAATTGTCCGCCAATGGCCATCGAGGAGGCATATTCGCCTTGGGGGCGGGCCCGAACAGGCCTTGCCAGCGGCGCATTTTTTCCTTCGAGCGGGGAGAGGTGCGATTTACGCGGCTCCTCCGCCAATGACCTGGCCCAGCGGGAGTGTCGGGGCGCCGGGGTGGCCGGGCGGGATGAGGACGGGCAGGACGCTGGCCAATGAGCGCGCGGGCGGAGCCGTGGGCGGGGCTTCGGCGTGCCTTGGCGGGGGAGCCGGCCGGGCTGTCATCCAGTGTCATGTCGGACGCGCTGCGGCTGCGAGAGGGCGAAACAAAATGGCGGCGGCGGAGGGGCCGGCAGGGGGCGCCGCCGCCTCCGTCCTCCGCCGCCCTCGCGCAAGCGGGTGCTGGCCGCTCGCGAGGCGCGGGCGGCGGAGTCCCGCGCAGGCCGCCGAGTGCTCGCGGCGCTGCGCGGGGCGCGTCCTGACGGGCCTGCCGCACACGCCGCGGGGCCTCCTCTGCGGCAGCGTGCCGGGGTGGCGCCTGGCATTGCGTGGAGCCGTCGCGGCCCTCCCCGGCGGGGATCCTCCCGGGCCGTCACGTGTGAACGCGTGCAGACGGGCGGGGGCGGCCACGTGCAGGGAGCCTTCAATCGCATAAGGAGAAGGCGCTCCGGCTGCCGGGAGGGCCCCGCTGGGCCTTCTGCCGCCCTTCCATCAGGAGACGCCCTGCGGCGCTCGCCCTTCCTCGCTGTCCTCACAACAACCCCGTGAGGCAGGCCGAGCAGGGAGAGGAGCGGGACTGGACGAGAGCTTCGGGCTGCGCTGGGCGTTATCTACTCGTCGATTAAATGATTGCGTAGATCCCGGTTGGCAGCAGGGAAGCCTCGAACTGGGGTCACCGGGATCCCACGTGCGCCCACCCAGACACACGTCTTGCAGTATGTGCTTTGTTGGATGTCTCATTCCTGGCTTTATTTCTGTGCCTCTTCTAAGTTGGTAGCTGGATGTGATGCCAAAGGGAAGGCGGCTTTAAGATGTGGGTACACCTTTTCACATGTGCGTGTCAGCCCCCCCCCATGTGCTGAATGTGCACATGTGTGTGGGGTCAGTGCTTTGCCATTCTGACTTTAAGGATTGTTCAATCAGACCTTGTACACCCCATAAATTACCGGGATGTGCCCCATACCCTACAACCTTCAGCCCTCCTGTCCCAAAGTGATGATAAGTAGATAAGTAAGAGAAGAACTTCCAGGGGAAATCAGTCAGATGCTTTTCTGCTTTCACAAGCTTGGATTCAGCTTGTTCAAGGGGGTCTCCCTGCCTCCTGTAAGCCCCCCACTCCCAGAACAGCTTTAGTGGCACTGTGTTCTTGCATCAAAAGCAATTGCACACATGTATCAGGCCACTCTATGGCAATTTATGGGAAAAAAAAACCAAGTGCTTTTCAGTCATATTCTAACTAATATGTAAATATCCCACCAAAATATTCTGAGGCAGTTTTTCCCAACTTGATACCTTAAAGGTGTCCCACTAAGCTCTGCCATGCCACAGCATGGCCGCAGGTTCAAGAATGCTGGCTGAACATCACCAAATCATTAATGCTACATAAAAGTTAACAGGATTAGAATTTTATCTGAAAAGAGGAGTGTTCCACAACTTTGGTTCCTTCATCATGAAGGACCTCTCCTTGGTAGCCCACCATTTCATTTTAGCTTGCTGGGCAGGGGGACAGAAGGAGGTCACTAACAAAGTTAATGTAGATGCTTAATGCAGGTAATGTGCAGAAGGGTCACAATGTTGATTTCTCACATAATTGCTATATATGTGGAGACAAGCAGCTGAACAAACTGGCTGTGTAGAAAAATTTTAATCCAAATTTATATCAGAGTTCTGTCTCTGGTGTTAAATGTATGATGGCTCCCTCACACATAAAACTGATCTGTTTCTGCCACAGATCAAAGGACTATGTATTATCTCGACTGCTGTACAGTTCTAGATCAGCAGTAGAAAAGGCTGGCTTCTATGTAAGCCTGCTTGAGTTTTAAGATCTTGGAGGAGGAGCTTTTCTTGGTACTGTTTACTATTAGAGGCAGACTTGGTGGGGTGTGGCGAAAGGGCCTTCTCACTGCTTTTCTAGGCTGTGGAACTCCTCTCTGCTTCTTCCAGCAAGCAAATACATTTTTATTCAGGCAGGCCATTGACATATAAACTAGTTATTGCCAAAAGGGGTTTTAATTGGTCGGTGATGTTTATCTCGTATATTGTTGCATTTTAGCATATTTTTAATGTTAGGTTTAATGACAAGTTTTTAGCTTTAAAGTCAGCATAAGACAAAATAAGCAATTAAATAATCAAGATTTGTTGTTAGTGTCCTTCAATGTCATTTCTGTTGGAAAGGTGAGATGGTAAATAAATAAATGCTGAAGTTGTGAAGTGCCAATTGTATGTATGTGAATTAGTCTTCTGGTTTATTTCATGGCCAGCCACGTTGGTAATGGTGCAATCTTTTTCTTACTAACATGCATAGGATTGCCCTTAGTTTCTCAGCTGTTGCTCACAAGTCCAGCTTTAGATGTCTTGTAAATGTGGTAGGATAGTTCAACTTCCAGATACAAAGTAATGCATCTTAAGGGTGTAACATAGACAAGCAATCAGAAGCCCAGTTTCTGTTCCTGTCCTCCAAAGACTTTCTGGACTCTGTTTCATTTTAATGTTAACCGAATAAGTGATGCCCCACACCCTTCCCAAACTGACTGACAAACGTGAATATCACTAGATGGGGAACTTGGAATGCACTGATCATACCTTTGTAGGTTCCTCACAGAAGGGCTGTATTTGGGAGTATTCCCAGAAATAACTAGTTGATTTTATTGATTCTATAGATGTAATTCTATTTATCATTACCAGGTATAGATATTAAAAATCCTTTTTTAAAATCCCTTTATAAACTTCATGCCTTGAAGAAGAGAAACACAGAAACAGAGCGAGTCAGGAGAGGCCTCCCGGGCCATCTAGTCTGACCCCCAGCTCCAGCTGGCTCCGCTCACAACATGCCCACCATGTGCATGTCCAGCCTATCTTTGAACACCCACACTGATCGGGCCTCAACCACGTCCCGTGGAAGCCCATCCCATACCCTGGGGGTCCTAACTGTCAGGAAGTGCTTTCTAGCATCTAGATGGAACCTGGGGTGCCTGAGCTTTGCTCTGTTGGAGCGCGTCCTGCCTTCCTCTGCAGGGGAGAACAGGTGTCTTCCCACCTCCGTGTGACATCCCCTCACATATCTGTATGTCGCCAAGACTCCCAATGTGTTCTGATGTCAGGCTTAAACTAGCTGATTTTTTTTTAATAAGGAAAATGGACGCTTTTGAATGTTTGAAAACTACTTCAGGTAGCAAGTTATCAGACCAGAATGCAAAACTCCAGTGTTCTCCAAGTACAATAACCACTGTTTGTTTTGTCTTATGTGTTGCATTTTATGGGACAGACAGCCGCAACATTCTGGTCATATACTTCATTCAGATATGGTGTAAAAGCCTTTCAGCTTTTATTGAAATGATTAGTCTCAGGAAAAATGAACTTGCATCCTTTATCACACATTTGGGACATTTCCCTCAAAACTCAAAGAAAGTTCCCCTTTCAGGATTACAGAGGAGGTTTGTGCCTCTGCTGATTTTCCTAAGCCCTGTCAATTCATGTCCACAAGAGGCAACCACTGTAGGCTGAAGATTTTAGCAACTGTAAATGAGTTAAAATGCTTGTTTCTGGAATAGGGCAGGTTGGCATAGCTCACATCAGGGAGTTCTGCTGACCTGTCCTAACTTTTTAAAAAAGCATTTCCACTCATTTCACACATTCCACTGGGAAGTGTAAGAGGTCAGCTCTGCTTACATAGTGGAATCAGCAAGATCTCTTCGCCCCCTTGCAAAAGCTTCTGCAACTTGAAAGAGAGTTGTGGTGGTAAACATTCTGCTGGATTCTACCCAAAGAATTCAGTAACTCTTCTGTGATGTGACAATTCTGTGCAAACACATGTAAAAATTAATACCAATAGCATATACTTCCCTTACATTATTCAAATGTAAAGAAAACTAAAGATACACAGTAATACATTTATGCAACTCAAAAAAAATGCTGTGCATGATATACTTAGCAACCATTTATCTGCTTTAATGGAGGTTAATTCTCTTTCACAGGTTGTTAGGGTACCTTCATTTTCAATGTCACTGACTGTTAAGTTTTATATACTCAAAGAGTAGGGAGCGTATGCATGTATGTATACTTAATGCTAACTTACCTTACCTTTGAAACTGCCAAGTTCACCTTGTATTATATTTGTAGTTGGTATCTATTTGTTTTTATTAATGAACTTAAGAAATGGAAGATTTTCCATGGAAAAATAAAACACTGGAAACATTTCCTCTGCCTGCACTGTTTGGGGGTGGGCAGCCATGGAGGTTACCCCCCAAGCCATGGAAGTTACCTTCTCTCGCTTTGTTTAAATAGAGCATTTGTATCTAAGTAGGGTTTAGATCCAGCAAGGTGCCTATGTTAAAATCAAACATGTCTTAGCATAATTTGTTAGCTGTGCTGCATAGCAGTTGAAATGTCTGCCCTTGGAATTCAGAAGCCAGCAGGATTTTGGCTTCTTTTCAGTATCAAGTCCTTCAGAATGAGGAACTGAAATATGCATAGATGTTGACTGACAACATTGCTTGTGGGTCAGAGTTTGGCTTTCCATCTGTGTTCAAGGAATCTTGGATTCCTTGGAAAACTTGGGAGTTCCTTAGATGAGCAGTAATGGCGGATGAAGTTCTGTGAAGCACAGCTTGTTTAGTGATACAGCTTCCTCAGTGTGCCTACACACCGAGGCTGGGCTGTACCCCAGCACGCACGTCAGGTTCACGAATCGTTTCTGAGTCTCCTGCACTTTCACTTGCCCCATGTGAATTAGGTACGCACCTTTAGAGCACTCTGCAGTATTCTCTGCAGTTCTCAAGTGTTCCTCAGCAGATACAGTGATATGGAAATAGGTTCTTTGAAGACAGAACATTTGAGGATTGCTGCACTGGATTGATTGGCATGATTAGACTTCAAACTAGACAATGGGTTAGCGTTTGACAATAAGCTTCTTCTTTGGTTTTTGATGAATTTAAAATGTTTTTGTAAAGTTATGTTTTGATGAGGTTCTACTTTGGAGTAATTATTTGATGCTTGCAAGCCCAATCAGGCCAATAGGCTTTGCCTTTGGAGCCTGTGCAGAATCCAAGCTTGGCATTAGCATTGGGAATGTTGTTGTACTTGGGAATGTTGTTGTACTTGGGCAAAAATAGGAAGCCTAGGATCACCTGAAAGCCGGGCATTGGAAGACGTGGGACAGGTGTGCTTAGAACACAGTCGCGTTTACGTCTGAGCAGGCTTGCTTAGTACCAAGTTAATGAAAAGTGGATGTATAAAATTTCAACTATGAAGTTGCAAGGATGTCAAAGTAAAGCTCATGGATCTTTATAACATTTAAAGAGGTTTTGAACTGTTGCCTAATATCAAATCTGGAGTGCAAGTTTAAGAGGAGAATGTGACCCTTTTTCCTGTGCAGCATACATTTCATAAATTTAGTTAGTATCTTCAGTATACCGCCTAAGCATGTAAGATGCAATTCCTTTAATAAAATGGTATATATAAACAATCTTCTATTCCGTAATGAGACTAACATGCTCTTTTTTGTCAACTCGTAGACTTCTGTGAAGACCTGAAGATACTGCCCAGGCAAAGATTCGTCAAAACTGTGGAGATGTCTTTCATCTGGTATAATAGAATGTTGGCCGATTAATGTTTTTTAAAATAATGTTTGAATCATCCCAGGTTTTTCTGGTATCCTAAGGATAGATTTATGAATTGGTTTTACAGAGTGTGAAGAAAAGCCCATTTTTCCTGTGGCGAATATTTCTTGAAGGGATCAGTAATAGGACTAGAGAGAAACTCTATGGGTAACACTTGTTTTTGGGAAATTATTGGTTAACCATGGTAAAACTTGCTAACCCACTTTACACTGAGTGGATTCTTGAAGCTATACAAAAAGTCAAAAGGCAGAAGCAGAGGCCATCTGAAGAGAGAATTTGTCATGCAGTCTGTGCATCCCATGGATTGGATAAGAAGACTGTTTCTGAGCAGTTGGAACTAAGTGTTCAAGATGGTTCTATTCTCAAAGTTACCAACAAAGGCCTTGCTTCCTACAAGGACCCAGATAATCCAGGGCGATTTTCATCTGTTAAATCAGGTGACCTTCCTAAACCTACTAAAGGGTCTAGGGTAGCTTGCAATGAACTTCGGAATGTGGATTGGAATAAACTCCTGCGGAGAGGAATTGAAGGACTTCAGGAAACAAATGGCTCTTCCCTCAGAAACATAGAGAAATATCTGAGAAGTCAACATGATCTTGCAGGTATTTTCAACAACCCCGTTTTTCAGCGGAGATTACGACTGGGGGCCAAACGTGCTGTAAATAATGGAAGATTATTGAAAGAAGGACCGCAGTATAGGGTGAACTATGGTAGCCTGGAAGGCAAAGGAGCATCTAAATACAGTTCATTGCCCGCATCTCTCCCACCTGTGAGTCTTTTGCCTCATGAAAAAGACCAGGTAAGTGTGAAGTATATTTTCGCAGGTGTGTCAATCTGTATGTGCATTAGGAAATGTTCTTAATATATGTTGTGTTTGAGTAAGTTTCATGTCGTACTAGTAAGCTTGTTTGCACTCAGGATTCATTTACTGTTTAGAATTTTCTAAGGTGTGTAATGGTCACAACTGCTGACTAGAACAAGTGTCTTGCTTAGGACTGAAGTTCAGTATTCGTATCCACTGAAGCTAAAGTAAAGTTTGGAAAGCTTAAAAAAATCCCTATAATCTTATGTGTCCACATGCACTGAAATAAAATGTGACTTGGTAGACAAGTGATGCTTGTCCTGTTGTAATTAGGAGATGCTCAGAATTCAGGAATGTCATCATACATAAATAGCTGTAGCAAATGTTACGTTGCTGCTGCTGACTTTGGAAGATACAGTGGTATGATACATGGGAATTCAGGCTGTGCAGACTTTAAAAAAACCTTTTAGATTCAGCTTGTGCCTTAATAATCCCTTTTAGCTTTTGAAACCTTGAAGGATCTTCTCACATTCTATTGTTCTGTGCATACTAGATGATTCATTTCTGTTTCTGCAATATTGCACTTGCTTCCAGCTGTGGAGTTTAATGGAATACTGAATCCCTTAATACTGATCAAAGTTGCTGATCTTTCTCCCTGTGACATTAAAGTATATATTAGAAGAAAGCAGCAGTGGCACGAAGAAATGCGATAAGAGGCTCCCTTTAGTTATTTCTCAGTGGCCTATTCCTATTTTTAAGTGTTAATTGCAAGGTAATTGTTATGTAGTGGATGGTGGGATTTCCATTCCAGTTCTTGTCATGATAAGTGGGTTAGCAGCAGGTTCATCAGGTTCATTTGCTGGAGCCCACAGTGCCAGAGGAACACTTCGTGAACGTCTCAGTGCCACCCATTTAATTCCTCAGCACCCTTCCGGAGCGCTGTGGGTAGACTGCATCCTGTCTCTAGGGTCCCATCTTATTTCCAGGCTTCCCTGGAGGCTGGTGCAGTATCAGTTGTTTGTGAACTCAGCGTGAGGGGAAACGGGTTATTACTGTTTAACCTGAAGTTGTATGTGTCCGTCCTACCCCCACTCCTCAGTCCACTGAAAAAGTCTGTGATGGAAGCTAAGGGAGCTTGGAATGTATCCTTATTCTTGAAATTATTATAGCATGAAATGAATTTGGTTCTTGTAGGAAAACTTGTAATCTGGTTAGTGCAGGAAAATACATGTAAACTGGCCAGTGCTGCTTAACAAGAGTCCTTTTTTCCCTCAAGCTAAATAAGTAAGATCCTAAAGGCTGGTGTTAAGCTAATTCTAAAGCATGTAATGTGTGACCATAGGCGAAAGTCAGTTATACCTAGGAATCTTCCAGAATGCACTTCTGCTCTACATAAATACTTTGTGGCCTTTTCTGTTTCTTCATTGTTCTGTATTCTTTTGTTTTGTTCAAAATGAGAGCCTCTGGGTGTAGTTTGCTCTGAAAATGGACTGTCGGGTATTGATGCACGTTTTGCTGCTTGTGAGAATCAGCCCTCCTGCATATGTAAAGGCTTAGACTGTGCACTCTGCCTGCACCCTGATGACTCAATTTGGATTGCTCCCCCAGGTTCCTGACCTTGTTGTATTGAATGGCAAGGTCTGGAGGGAAGTTTTGCTACTATTGCTTTTGCTGCTGATGTCATTTTTCTCCTGCCCAGTAGCTGGAGCACACTCTCTCTTTCATAAAATACAATAAAGGACTGTAAAATTTGACAAATACAAACTTTAAAAAAAAACAATTAAAGCAGCATGCAATGAAGGGTGGCCTTGTAAAAACTCTTCAGCCCCTGGGATATCCAAGCCTCCATAAAAGGCCATCTTAACCTGATGGTAAGATTATGGGAGAAAATGACTGGGTTGGTGCCAAGTGGGCCTCAGTGGGGAGGCCATTCTATAGATAGGGGCCCCCACAGAGAAAGTGCTCCCTCTTACTGCTTCCCTCTGAGCCTTCCTCAGAGCTGGTCCTTGGAGGATGGCATGAATGTTGCATATAGTGTCTGTGTGAATTATGGTTGGGAGAGGCACTTTGCCAAGCACTGTAAGATTTTGAATGCATAAGATTTTGTACCATCTTTCCTCATTTATGCTTAGCTTTATAAAGGTTTAGGAAGAATTAGTAGATTTTCCAGAGAGCACAATTGGATGCAAACCACACCCAATGCACTTGGCTGTATTTCTATTCATGGCAGCAGCACAGCTCACTTCAGGTTTTTGAGGGCCCTTGGCAAGGCACCATCCACGGGCTGCACCTCACATGGAGTTTACTATCTCACCAGGTGCTGCTCTTTGATGCTGAACCACTTCTGCATCTTTGCTGTCACTCTTGACAGGCAGAGAGCTGGTAAGCAAGCAGGCAGTAGTGTCTGCTCCACCTCCAGCTGATCACAGTGTTATCTGGGTCAGAATGAGAGGGTGGTGGTGAAAAAGAGGGGCGACTCCAGGGATCTTTTGTCAGGAAACCTTGCTGGAGGAGGCTATATTGTACAAAGGATCAGCCACATGTTACAGGCTTCTGGTGTGATCAAATAACTTGAAGGGGCCTTTTGTCCCGCAGCTTTTTCCTTAAGAACCTTGCTTGTTTATTAACTCACACAAACACAACCGTTTTATAAACATGAAGTTCTTCAACCTGGGACACATGTAGACAATCTGACTTTCTCCATATGGTTTGGGCAACAAGTACCATTATCCTTGATGGTTGGCCATGCAGTAGGCTTTAACTATTACTGTAAAATACCTTTAGCTAGCAGAAAAGGCCACATAAAAATATGTCGAGTATGATCTGAAGGCACCTAAGGTATCCAGCATCTTGAAGCCAAGCAGGTCTGGGCCTGGCCTGAGCTTGGAGGGGAGAACCCCTGGGAACTGCACGGAGCAAGCTGGAGTTCCACCATGGGAGAAAAGTGGGGAATGCATGAATAAAATTCTACTTTCTTAGTGAGAAAAAGCTCTAAAGATGCACTTTTTCTTTTCTGGTTTTTTTGGGGTGGTGGGGGAGAGGGCTATCATGTCCCCCTACCTTTTTACATCTTGACTCCCTTAGACAACTCTGTCCTGAAGGATGGGGCCATATCCAGGAAAGCACTTGGGTTATTAAAGAAGTCATTACTTTATAAATGTATTAGTTGCTATTAATTAAAATCTCTCCAAGTCACTTAAAAGAAGAGAGAGACTTCCATAAAAGCAGTTATAATAAATTTTATTCAGTGACTGTTATGCAAGAACTTGGCCTATTCAGCAACATTTGCAACTGCCAAAACATAGCACATAATTTTAAATATTAATGAAAGATATGGATGTGTGACTCTAACCTTGCACATGTTCAAATTTAATTGTGTGATGTTGACGTGATTTTTTGTTTAGTTTACAGTAGATGTTCATGTGAACAAAATGTATCCTTTCAGAGTAACTGTGACTTCAAGGCTTAAAAAATATAACATAGCTGCACCAGAATTTGGGGAGGGAGGAGTTGATGGGAGAGGGAGAATGGTCTAATTCTTCTACTTTGCAGTGGTCCTGGTGCAGATTGCTCCCCTGAAGCTACTATTAACCACACAGGTACAAACATGCAGGATTAAGGTTTTCTCCTTTTGTAGCTAACAACTCTTCATGGGGGGGGAGGGGGGAAATGGATTGAAGCTGCTAAGTGGGGGGAAGATCCCCTCCTCAAATCTTGTGGCTCAAATCCTGATCCCTGTAGCAGCTGCTTTTACCAAAAAAAAAAAAAAAAAAAAGTGTTAGGCCAGCAAAACATGGCATTCTGCTGTTAGATTTTTTGTTTTTGGATGATGCTTATTTTGGCAAGCTAGTATTAAAAGGCTAGCCTTTAAAAATATATTCATCACACAATAGAGAAAATAAATCTGCCAAATAGTAGATTTCAATTTTGGGAAGCTTACCATGTAAAAATGTTTTCTTTTATGTGTGTGTGTTGCGGGGTGTAAGTATTTGCTGTGCTCTTTATGCAGAACATCACTAAGGCATCTGTTTGATAAACAGGAGCGATCAGTGCTGCTTACCAAGTCATCAGCTCACAATGCTTGAAAAATTTGAAGTTCACCTTTTTGCCTTTTTTTTCCCTTTAGAGCTGTTGCTAAGATATAAATGTACACTGACATGAGAGCATGTCAGCATGCTTTTAATTGTTTTAGAAGCAGTTAGGCCTGTCGCTTTGCAGATGGTTAGGAACTCTTCATAGTGGGTGGATGTGTGCTGATTATCTCATTGAATTAAGGTAACCTTTTGTCATTCATTGAGTCCTTCAGTTCAAGCACAGAGCAGCTGCTCTAGGGTCTCTCAACCCCCTTCTTACTGGTGCATACAAAGATTATGCTAAAAAATGTCCTGGGTATAGTGCCAGGTATTCAGCCTGGCACAGAATAAAGCAGTTGCTTTACACTGCTGTGGTGTGCATGCGTATGATTGATAAAAATGATGTGGAGGTGCCAGCATTGGGCTAAGTGTTAGCATTTGAGGATTCCTGTTCAAAATAATTTGCAAGCCAAGTAAGCCAAATCTCTGAATCAAAAGGAAGTTTTAAAGAAAAGATAGAAGACTGAAATTTCTCTTAATTGTGCAGCTTTATACTGGTGACATTTCCAGGACTTGCTCTGTCTCAGACTTTGTAAACTCACATTATGAAACATACCAAAATTGCTTTTAGAACTTAGCATAATAGCTGTGCACAAGATTCCAGTAAATATCATAGGGGAAAACAAGGGAAAAGTTGGTATTATGAAAGTTTTGTCACAGTGTCTTCTAAGTCTTCCAAGTGTTCATCATGAATATTTCCAGTTTCTGTATTCTTCAGGAATACTATAGCCTCTTGATGGCAATAAACAAGAGTGCCTGGCATAAATTTGTATACAGGTAGCCGTGTTAGTCTGTTGCAGCAACATCAGCAGTCTTGTGGCACATGGAAGACATATCTGAGGAGCTAGGATATATCCATGGAAG